GGGCTGAGGAGGGGAGAGGACCACCCGGCAGTGGTGGCGGAGTAGGGCTCCACCCTCTCTCGCGCACCCCCCCGCGTGCCCGAGGCTTAGCTGAAGCTCGCGTCTAGGTCCCTCCTGCTCAGCGCTCCAAGCTGCAAGCTTGCCCCCACTGCCTCAGGCCTTCGTGGGTAGAGGGCAGAGCCAAGGGGTGAGGGTGGGTGGGCAAAGGGCGGGGGAGAGAGGGAAAGTGGGTGTAAAGCAAGGGAGGGTGCCAGGCAGGCAGATCCAGGAAAGTAGGGGGAGGGTTAAGGCTGGTGCCCATCAGGGTGACTCACTCTTCTTCCACCACTGGCTCCCCCTTTCCTCCCCATAGTGATAGTGAGTCACCCCTACCCCGCCACCCCCCACATGTGGGCAGTCCATTCAAAGTTGCATCTCAGGATGCCAGGGTGAGGTGGGGAAGAATGCCTGGGTTCCCTGGGGTGGTTGGAGGGAGGGCTGCAGCAAAGTTCTGGATCCTGAGTGCCTTTTACACCCTCAAACTTGGGGTGGGGACCAGGAGTTTGGAGTCGCTCTTTTCCTATCTTCTGCCCCAATTTAATCTGCCTTCAAAACCAACCATTGGGTCTTAGACCCAAGAAACAAGCCACAAGCCCCAGAGAAGGCCAAGAATTGGACCCAGGCACTGCCCATCTCCTGCCCCTTTCCTTTGGATTCAAGCAATTGGAAAAAGAGCCTGCCTTGGGTTCCTCCCCCTTCAGTCCCTTTCTACTCCTCACCCCACCCCACCAACTCCAGGACTGTACTTATTTTTTTTTCCAGGACTGTACTTATTTTAATGGATAATTTAAAACAGATACCAGAGCTGCGCATGCATTCATCACATTGCCAGGACACCAGGTCCCAGATTTTTGTGGTTCCCAGAGGGGCCTGAAAGGGGGAGCAGGGCTGGGGGCTGGACAGCCAATGTTGGGTCTCTATCCTGGTTTCAGCCAGAGAAGGGGTGGTGGGAGGTAGGGACAGCAAAGACTCCCACAACCTTGCTGGCTGCAGGGCCAGCACTGCACTTATCTCTACACTCCTCTCTGGCCAGGTCTGCTTTGCCACTGGCTCTGGGGAGGGGCCAGGATCTTCACACAAAACAGGATCACCCAAGTCCCCAGGCTTCCCCATCCCAGGCTCTGGGGCTTCCATCCCCAGGACTCACCAAAGACCCCTTTAGTCAGCCTTCTACTCCCCTCCCCTTATCCTGGCCCTGGCCCCACCAACCACCTCATCCTAAGAGGTGGCAGTGGCTGAGGCTCCAGAACCCATGTGCTTTCCTGCCCTGCCCCTGTGGCCTCCACAGCTTATTCTCTGATGAGCAACGGGGGAAATTAAATTATGTTGCTGACTCCTACAGCTCCAGGATATCAGGATGCGCAAGAGAAGCAGAGCTGGACAGGTCCTCTGTTCTGGGTTCTGGAGCTGGCTTCAGAGGGACAAGGGGCTGGAGTGGGATTAAGGCAGGGACTCTTGAGTATTCAGGGAGAGGAACCGGGAAGGGGATGCTTAGGTTCCCATCTCTAGGGGGGTGACTGGCAGTGTGGTGAGTATCCAGGATGCACCCGTTTGAAGGACTCAGGATATGGCTTCCCCCGCTTGCAGCCCTCTCCCCCAGGGCATGGCACTCACCTTCAGCTTCCCAGACAAAACAAAAAGCCTTGTTCTGTTTCTCCCTCTTGTACTCTCCAAACCAAAAGCAGAGGCGGGGTGGGTGTGCCAATGAAACGTGCGGGATACTGGCTGTTCCCACTGCCTTAGCCCCCACTCCACTGAGCGTCCCCCCGCCCCCCGGCCCCCCAGTCCCTGCCTGGCCTGGCTTCCCCTCCTGGCTGGGGAAGCAAAACCACATTTAACCCTTCCTAGCCCAGACCTCCCCATCTTTGGAGAAAAGACGCAGGAGAAAGAATGGGGGGAACTAGCCCTAAATTTCACTCTAGGTCCTTTCCAAAGGGTCCCCCCACCTTACCACCACCACAATGGCCTCAATCCTAAACGTGAACTTCGAAGGGACTTTATCTTGAATATTCAATCCTAACTCTGAATCCCAAATGTCATCATCTGCTCTCTTGCTGCCAGGTGTAGTCACCAGTCCCAGAAGAAGCAGGAGAAAGCAGGGAACGCCAGATCCAGAGGAGCGGAGCCTGCTGGGGGTGAGGGCTAGGGGGAGTTGTGACTGGGTGGAGATGTGACTGGGCGGAGACCAGGTTGCAGTCTTATCTCCCACTTGCTATGTGATGACAGGTCTGCTACTGAATTCTCTGGGCCTTGGTTCCCTCATCTGTAACATGGGTAGTGTGGCTACCAGAGACATGGGCGTTAAGCTACTCTGTTTGCTCTCAAGGGAGTTGCCCACTTGTAGGGAAAACAGAGGGAAAGGCAAAACCAGGCACAAGTGGTTAAAGAGCAGCATAGAACCCTTAACTGGATAATGAATTCCAAATGGATCCCAGAAGCTGGGAGCTGCAACATTAATAAGTGATGTCAGAATATAGTTGTTGAGTCCAAGGGGTGGTTTGGGCAGTGGAGGGGCACTTGTCTTGAAGACCAATGACCTTGAGGGGGACCCTCCTCTGGTCCCATAGCATCCTGGGCCTTCCTCTGACCCTGCCTCCCAAAAGTGCTGTGAGGGACAGGAGGGACCAAATCTTGGCCACCTGTGTCCCTAACATTTGGCCCGGAGCCTGGCATACAGGAGGTGTTCAGTGTTTCTTAAATGAACAAATGCATCTGGTCCTGCCACTTTTTCAGGTCACTGACTTTGGGCAAGTTATTTCTTCTCTTTCAGCCCCAGTTTCCCCATTGCAGCATGGGGATGCTGCAATGATTAAGTAACATGCATTTAAAGGGAGGCTCCTTGGAGGAGGTAGATTTCGGGCTTTACAGAAGTGCCTTATACATAGATAGTGAATTCACTCATCCAACAAACATTTATTGAACACCTACTGTGTGCCAGGCACTGAGCTAGACACTGGGAGACAGCAGTGAATAAAACAGACAAAAATCCCTACCCTCATGGAGCTGACATCCTAGTGGGGGGAGATGGTCCATAAATAAAAGACAAAATTATAGTTTGTTAGAAGGTGGTTAAGTGCTATGAAAATAAAATATAAAGTGGGATAATGCTCAACACACTGGGTAACTTACACTTTGACGCTCTTTATAGTTGCGTGTTTTCACATACATTCTCAATTTCGTTCCACAAAACCACCTTATGGGCTGGAGATTATTTCCCTGTTTCACAGCTGAGGCTGACTTTCCCAAAACTAAACAGTAATAGGCCAAGTTCAGAACTTGGACGAGGCAGCCAGGTCCAGGACTTCACTATCTTATGCCACTTTGGCAGGACTGTGGGAGGAGTAGGGGTGGACTGGTGCAGGGAGGAAGTCTGTGTAGAGGTGCTGAAGCGGGAAAGAGCTGAGGAGGGTGCACAGCTGAGCTGAGCAGGGAGACACTAGAGGTGAGGCAGGAAAGTGTGGGAGGAAAGTCAGGACCAGGACCAGAGAAGGGGGAGATGGAGGCAGCTGCCTGGTTCAGGGATGGGGCCTGCGAGAGAGGATTCTTGCTGCTTGATAAGCCTGGGGTCAAGAAGAAGAGAGGGGGACTTCCCTGGAGGTACAGTGGTTAAGACGCCACACCTCCAATGCAGGTGGCCCAGGTTCGATCCCTGATCAAGGAACTAGGTCCTGCATGCCGCAACTAAAAGAGCCCGCATGCCGCAACTAAAGAACCTCCACGCAGCAACGAAGATCCCGCGTGCCGCAACTACAACCCGGCACAGCCAAATAAATAATTTTTTTTTTTTTTTAAAGTCTTCAGATAGTGCCGATGTCCCTTGTGGGGCAAAATCACCACCAGTTGAGAACCACTTATCTAAGGTCATATGGTAAGTAGCAGAACTGGGATTGTAATACAGGTGGACCTGACTCTGAAAGCCAAGCACTTACCCACCAGGTTATAATCCTGGACAGGTAGGAGTGAGAGAGAGGAGGATTCAAATGGGTCCTAGGCCACTGGGGAGACAGTTCTATTCCCCCATAGGGGTGGGAAGAGGTAACTCTTTGGAGGAGGGTCTAGGGAGTGGGGGCTGATTTGGAGAGTCAAGGCCATGGTTTGAGGATTCGTTTATAGTGAGTTCTTGAGGGAGGGTCCCTGTCTTATTCATTCTTTGATCACAGGGTCTGGTACTAAACACCTGTTGAACTGCTGAGTCACTTGTGCACAGGTGATTATTATAACCTTGAGAGTGGAAGGACTTGCCTGTTCTTTAAGTGGCTGCCATGTACCAGGCACTGGGCTAGGGGCTGTGTGTGGGTGATCCCACTTAATCTTCACCTTAGCCTTACGAGGGAGGTATTATTATCTGCATTTTATCAATATATACCAAAACCTCAAAACTCCGAGAGGTTGACTAATTGACCTAAGGTAGCCCAGCCGACTAGACTGCCTTCTTCCTACCCAGACTCAGCTAGATGGAATGATGCAGGTTCAGGGCAATTAGCTTAGCTTAGTTCAGCCAGGAAGGCCCTTAGAAGGAGCGTATGTTTGACAGCCGTTTGGAAAGACAGAGAACCCCTCATTCGAATGAAATCTCACCCCAAAAGCCCAAGATACTAAATGACAGAGGCAGAGCCTCTCTAGTAGGGAGATTTGGGGACTCCTGCCTGATGATCCCTTGCGCCTCTCCCAAGAGGCCCCCCAGGGCTCTGGGGAATAAGCCCCTCTCTTTACAAGTGG